ACGGTTACCACTGCCCGCCAGCTGATAACCGCCGATCAGCGCAGATGAGCGTTCTTTCGCACTGATCGCCCGTATGGGACTTTTGCGACAATAGTATCATACTTTCTTTTCAACGCGGATTTTTGAGGATTTATATTGAGGGATGTCTTGCACAATCTATCAGCGGGAGAGCGCCCAGTTCAACATCTGATTCAGAGATAACTGGCTGTATGATAGCTTGACGCAAGATGGAGGCAGGATGCATGATGCGAGGCGTTGAACCCGTTGAAACCGCAGGCACGGGTGAACCGGTTCCGGTCTCCCGGCCGATGCCAACAGATGCAGAGCAGAACGCGCGAGCGCGCTGAACTTTCCAGTTACCTTCATGGGCCACCCTGCTCCCGTTTTTAGGACGCCATCGTAATGCATGCTTCTTGTATAGTTCACTACCCCATTCTTGGCCTTCTGCTGAAAGGGAGGCGTGATTGATGAGCACGGCTCTGTACACTTTGTACAAGATAAACACAGACAACGGTGGTACATTTTGAGCGCAGTTGTCAGTTCAATGGGAGTACATACGGCGGCACCACCCATCGCTACTACGCCGTCTCCACCTTCACATCGACGAACTCGACCTCCAGCGTGTCTCTTGAGCCCGAACCTTCCGCCGGTCGCGCGGCTGCAGCTGTAATCTCGATCTCCACCCCTTCCGTCTCCGCGAAGAACCACGCGCACTCTCTAAGCGGCACGCGCCCGACCTCCTTCCCCTCAGAGTCGGTCAAAATCTGATAAATCCACAGTCCTCTTCCCAGCTCGTCTCCTTCCGCCCTCGCCTCCACCGTGGCAATACCTTTGGACCCGTCATCCTCCTTCAATGGCGCCAGACTCCAGTCGGACCAGCCATCCGTCGTCACAGCGCTCATCTGAGCACGGTCTTGGTAGAACTCTACCCCCGCCTTGACCCACTTGTTCTTGGCCCAGGACGGCGCAGTGAGGAACAACGCCAGCCCGCCCTGGTCGTAGCGGTACTTCCAAGACGCGCGAAAAGACACGCGTGCGGAGCGGAATTGCGAGAGCGGGATCTTCGTCAAGGAAACGATGGGAGCGTTGGTCGAGTTGGTGGACGGGGGCTTGCGCCAGAGGTCTGTCTGGGGCGCGACGTTGATGGTGAACGGGGTGGTCGGGGTCATCGTGTATTCCGGGTGAAGATGGATAGATTAATGTTTACGCAGCGCAGAGACGCGGTGGTGGTGAATGAATTGCTGTCGCTATCGAGCCACGGTGCTCACCTTCTTATACCAGCTCGCTCGGATACGGGATGAGTCACCGCCGTATTGCGCACTCTCAGCAAGTACTCCACGTCAGCGACCTCACAGCCATACTATCATCACATGTCGGTCGCATCATATGGGCGTAGTTCAGTAGATGACTTCTGTCGCTCTGAACGCAACGAATTGGATGTGGTGCGGCGCAACCATCCCGTTGACACGTCTTTCGCGGTCCCTTCGCTCTTCCGATGCGCCTTGGCACTACCACATATAGTGTATCATACGTGACAAATGTCCATATCCGATGCCTTGGCTGAACCCGGCTGTCCGCTCTGCTCAAAAGCACGAACGCTCGCGACTATGTGTTACTCCGAGGTTTGTCCGCGCCTCAAGACTGTGTACATGCGCCTTGCACTGTTATGAGATGCTCTCTGCTCATTCTTGCCGGTTGTTTCGTTCTACGATCTGCCAAAGACCTGGTGCACCTCTCGTATGCTGGGGTCTTCTCCCGCTGACGGACGTGCCGCCTAGGCCACAGCGGCGGGAGCGAAGAAGCAGCATGTGGACGTATATAAGTATGCTCTACAAAGAGCGTTCTTCCTTCATTCAGCGCTATCCGCCCCGTGCTTCTCGGCAGCCACCATGCCGAGTAGCAGCGATATACGAGCAGCCAGTTTGAAGACCATCACTATCTTCAAGCAGAAAGGGCTGGCTTGTTGTCTGGTCGGCAGCGGTGCCACCTCGTTATGGGGTGTCCCACGAGTACCAAATGCAAGTGCTTAGACCTCGCTGTTGCTATGATCAACCTTCTGACCGGTTTGCAGGACATCGACTTGGTCGTCATGACTGTCATGCATACTCAAGAGGGCTTGAAGCGCATGCTGGCGGCCGAAGACCCCAACTTCGCCCTCGTACCATCTTCCAATCCTCGAAACACATACAAAGTCGTTTGGTACACCGTACCCGGCTCTCGTGCTCGTGTCAAGGTCGACGTTCTCCTTCCCGGCGTCATGAACATCCCCAGCATCGCGCCAGAGCGATTTGTCTGGTTCAAGAACAACACTCTACCGTCGATGCCCCTGCTCCCACTCCTCCTTCTCAAGCTTCAAGCCTGGGACGATCATAGGTCGGCGAGCTTCCGACGCACGGACCTCCGCGAGAAGCAGCACGTGGATGTCGCGGACATTGACGTGCTTCTTCCTATCGCGAAGAAGACTGGCGTTCACAGGAGCAAGGGAGGCTATCTTCCGAGATCGTTTTTGGATGCCGCAGATCGTCGCGTGCGATCCTATGTTGTCTACTATCCTACATCCAAGGTACATTGGGAGGCACTTGGATTTGTTGTGGAGTCTACGCCAGTGATTAGCACGTCTGCCTATTTGTCTCGATCAACATACACTTCCGGCATTGCACGCAAACCCAGAATTCCTGCCTTCTCTCTACGATACTGAATGAGCATCTTGCCTGCCGTATGTACATTCGCGCTTCAAAGTGGTGCTCTCCGTTGATGAAGGAGTAGTGTCACACCTCAGCTGTATACTTGCACTGTTGCAATCATATCTTCGTTCTGGGAAGCCTAGTTTATGCAGCACCATCATCAGGCGAATTGTTGACCGCGCGCGCGTGTTCATTGACTACCAGGATGAAGGACGTATGGACGCATGAGCACAGTGTCAGTGTCAGTCGATGATTGCGCCTGTACGTGGATAGACCATTCGTTCAAGGGATGCGGACCTACAAGCCAACTTTCACAATTTCAGTCAAAGGAGGCTATAAACGCAAGCCTCGTCCGAGGCTCAGTTAAAGCTCTGTACTCTGGTAGGTGGAGAAATATTGAGGCCCACTTCGGCCATGAAAGTGATATTCACGTTAACACAAGATGAATGCCAATATTAGGACGTGCTAGCGTAGACGTCAAGAGGCGTGGCAAAGGACATAACGTGCGACGAAAGCGGCGCGAGAGCGTGTACAGATGCGATGGTGCAGAGGTGGATATGTACCAAAAGGGGCGGACGTGTGTCATGGAGAGTCGTGCCTCACGACGGGATGTAGTCCGCGAAATACGGATGTACAAGCGCACGTTTTGCGGAGATGCGCTTGGCCGTGTCGTAGGTTAGCATTTGCTGTAGAGCGATGAGTATATATATAACTTCACAAAATGGGACAGAGGCACGTACATGCATGAGGTCGAGACCGTCGCGGTCGAGGTAAGGCACCTGCTCGGCAAGATCTTGTCCAGCCCAACGCGGGAACGTCGGCTTGTAATCCGGTAGTTGCCCCACGCCGGGCCAGGTGCTCTCATCAGGAGTACCGAGCACCCTGCCGAGACTGGTCAGTCACGAATCCAGTACAAGTAAACAACGGATCTCACCTGAAGATCTTGAAGATTTGGTCTATCTCTGAGTCACCAGGGAACAGGGGGTTGCCGCGCATGACCATCTCAGCGAATATGCAGCCAACGGACCACATGTCGATGGCCGTTGAGTAATGACGCGAGCCGAGAAGTACCTCTGGAGCGCGATACCACAGCGTGACAACCTGCGCAGCGATTAGTAGGTGCGCAAACAAGAGCCCCAAAAGCGAAGCGCAAAGGTAGAAGGACAGCGATCGCGGAAGCGGATAGCAACGTAGTGGATGGCGCGATGTGAGTGGATGCGCGTACCTCGTGTGTGTACGTGCGCATGGGAATGCCGAACGCACGAGCGAGACCGAAATCGGCGATCTTGAGATTGTCCTGGTTGTTGATGAGCAAGTTTTGAGGCTTGAGGTCGCGGTGCAAGATACGATGTGCGTGGCAGTAAAGCAGGCCAGCCGTTAGTTGATGCGTGAATTTCTGGAGGCGGTGTCAGCATTCCGGTCCATACAGGACTCCTGTGATCGTAGGCTAAACAGACTAGCGCGCCGCGCGGAGGGTGCATTCTACATCAACGTATCGCGAGCGTGCGGCCCTCGCGCCTTCCTTATCTGGAAGGAGACAATGCGATCACGTGGACTGTGAGAGCGACGCGTCGGGCATTTCGGCGCGCTCATCCCGCCCGCGATGACGCCGTGCATGGCCCATCGCACAAGAGTCAAACAGACGTCCGTCTCCTCCAACTTCATATGTGGATACAACATAACGGACCTCGCAACTGAAGAGGCGCGTATCGCGCGTCCGTCTCGGTTCCGCAGGTGTTGTTGTTGGCCACGAGGCCAGCGCGCGGCAGATGTGGCGACGAAACGGGCAGGTGCGGCATCACAAAGCGGAAAAGGACACGAACCTTGCAAAGCTCAAGGGAGAGTGGTGTACCGGACGCGTTGCCGGCTTCGATGTACCGCTTGAGATCGACGTCGAGGAATTCAAACACCAGATAAAGCTTTTGATCGGCGTGCACGATGTCGTATAATCTGAAATAGGCATATCAGTATACACTCGGCCAAGCCACTGAGATGCCGTCTGCGGAATGAATTGAATGATCTCGGCGGGTATGGCGTATCGCAGTCGAGGCCAAAGGTTCCGGGCTCACGTTACTATGTGTTTGTCCTTGAGCTCCTTGAGCAGGGAAATCTCGCGAATGGCTGTGCTTGGTACGCCTTCATCCTCTGCCTCGAGCCGAATCTTCTTGAGGGCGACGATGTGGTTTGAGTTAAGGTCCCGCGCCTTGTACACGACGCCGTATGTGCCTGGAATACGAAGATTTGATCGCCGGAGTTGGCGTGGTGCGCAGGGAGGGATGCAGGGAGGGAGATGGAAATATTGAATATGAGTGAGGTTCGGGGCTAAGAAGCCGTTGCGCAGAGATCTAACCTTCGCCTAAAGAGGGACAAAGTGAGTATACTAGTCGCAGCAGCCGACCCAGCGATCCACGCACCGACTTTCTCAATCTTCTCGTATCTGGAATCAGCCCCAAGATCAGTCCCTCGCCGTGGTTCAGAGCCGGAGCACTTGCCTGTCCATTGTTGCGGGGTGGGAGGCGGGGGATGCGTGGGCACGTGAAGGTCAAGGCAGCGGTGGCGGTCGGTGGCTCGCAAGTATCGGGCGACGACTAAATCGTGAAGCGCGGCGGCGTGGGAGAGGTCTTGCGGGCGGTGGACGTTGAGGTCGAGGTGAGCGTCGCTTCGCGCGTTTTGAGCACGGCGGTTCTCTGCTTACATAAACTTTGATATTCGATCTCGCCCTTTAAGCTTGTCGCCTGCATTTCATGTCCTCTCGCATTGTATGGATCCATCTGCCGCAGCCACTGTATTCTGGGCCCAGATTTCTGTCGCGCTACTCTCACGTAGCTCCGCTCAGACCACGGTTGCAAAGGTCACAGCCTCGCATGCGCTAACTACGAACTTGGTACTCTGCCATGCAATTCGGGGGCCGTCGGTGGCTCTAGCAGCGCCCAGGAGATGGTAACAGTAACATGGAAGGTGTCGCGGAGATCATGGGACTACAATACAGCGGTGCCGCCCAACTGCCTGCCCTACACCCGCAGGCAATTCCACCCTACGAGTCAGGTCTCTCGGTCTACTCGGTTTCCTTTCTTGAGGCCTGCCGCTATCATCAGTCCAGGGCGAGGCGCATGACAAAGGGAATGTCGCACGTAAATGAACCGGCTCCTTCCTGTATCGACACAAAGCGAGGTGCATTTGCTTCCGTTAAGCGTGGTACGGAAAGGGATGATGCATAGATGTTGCCGAGACACTATATCGACTCCCTGTGGCGAATGGAGAGTCAATACGGATGAGCGTTCGCTACGGTGGCCGGACCCGCGTATGCCGTTGACGTTGTTAGCAACTGCGCGTCGAGATGGATGTGTCGGCCCAGCGGGCAGCGGAACCCTGGTTGACAGCGCCATTTCAATGACATCAACATGGGCGCGCGCAGCTGGTGGAAGCATTTGTCCGACTAGAGTAACGATGACGGGGTATACAGGGCCGTCAATAACAGTGCTACCCTCGGTGTGCGATTGAGTCCAATGTGCCTTGCTCTTGAAGCTTGAAGCTTGACCGGCGTCAGAACATTGAACGCGATAGTAGTCCCGGAAATGTCTGTAGGCCGACATATTGTCAGCAGCGACATCGGAACCGAGTATCTGGTGCAATGATCCTCGGCCGCAAGGGATGTTGAGACCGGTGAGTGAGAAGACAAGAGCTTTCGGGGGTTTATGCGCCGGGCAGGGAAATAGGTGTGCAACGTCCCCCTCGTGCGCGATTCGGATCGCCTGCAGTCTTCTAGCGGGAACAAATTGGCCGGCCTCACACAGCCCAGAGATCAACTTCGTCAAGAAGGACCACTGCCTTACTTGAGGGTTACCTCTCCCGAACGCATCCATCAGGGTGAAGATGGCGATTAGCCCTACGAATACACTATACAGAACGTACCCGTGTGCATACATACACTCTGGCGCGAAGACGACAAGGAAGATAATGGCATGCCCAAGTCGGGCGGCGGCGCTCAGCGTCGCGTCCCAGATCCTACGCCGGCCTGGGCCATGAGGTCGGGTCATCCCCACCCCCACGCCGTTCGCGGGTTAAGTCGATGTACTGGCCAGGCCAAGGGTCCATTTCCTCAGCTATTCCACAGCGTCAGCTTCAGATCGCTAATCAGAGGCGCGGGTGCTGACTCTTGTCAATGATATTCATATCTCCACCATCATCCTCATCATCCTCGGCATTGGGATCCCACCGGTCAAGTGCAGCAGCTCGCGGATTCGCTTTGCGGTCTACGGCAAGGTCGGACATCAGCCGGTTCATGCTTTCGTCCTTCTTCTTCTGAAGCGTCGCTTCACGTTGTGCTCGAGCGCGAGCGAGCTCAGGAACGTATTCTCTATCGCGGACAGTGAGTGTAGGGTCCGGGTTACTGCGTGCAACAACGTACTTCTCATATTCTTCTCTAGACGCCTCTACGGCTTGAAGGAAGTCGTCCATGCCGGCGCCCGTCACGCTAGACACGCCGACAGCCTGTATGAAAGATTGAGTTTACGAAGTGATATTATTGAGAGGATTGCCCCTACCTTCAGGTGCTTGTAAAACTCATCGAGGACGAGACTCATGCTGTTCATTAGATTGTTCATGTAAGTCGGTTCGCCCTCTGCATCAGTAGTACCACTATGGTTCGCGAGTGCCGCCTGGAACGCTTCCCAATCATGCATCCACTCGAGCGCGAACTCGTGCGGCGTGACGTCCGTTTTGTTGAATACCACGATGAACGGGAGCTTCGTTTTGTATAGGATGCTGCAGGCGTAGAGCATATTCGACATGAATGTCGCGGGTGCGGCGGAGCGTGGCGTATCAACCACGTATGCGACCACCGTCGGGAGTGCAGCAGCTACGGCGTCGGTGATGATCGCACCTGAGGCCGACCATGTGAAGATTTCGATTTGTCCGGGTGTATCTAGCACAACATAGCTGCCCGTCTGTCAGGCCTCATGGAAACCAGAATATGCGTTAATGACTCACTCGACCTCCTCCGCTCTCTTTTCCACCAACTCGAGCACTTGATCAAGCTTGGTTGTGAACAGGTTGAGCGCGGTGAGGATACCGCCGTTCGGGCCCAGATTATATCTCAAGCAAAAGGCTGAGCTAGAGCTCTGTTACGCGAAGCGTAGACAGACACACTGCTTCATGACTTCATGGTAGTCCACGGTATCTCTGATATCGATATTCGGCTCGTATGGGGTGTTTGCGACAGCAGGATCGAGATTCAGCAAGTACGGCGGCGCGGGTGGCTCTTGTGCGTGCAAATGATTTGTAAGCGCATTCACGAAGGTTGATTTTCCTGCACCAGCCATGCCAATGGCAATGACCACAACCGGCTGTTTTTTGCCAGCCTCAGGGGCCGGTGTAGTGGATGTAGATGCAGAAGCCATGGAAGAAGAAGATAAGTTGCGGCCAAGTGCTGCAAGCGCGCGCCTAGCTGATCGGACCGTGGGAGAGCGCCTGATGATAAAGGCAGCGCGCTCACATCGCGCCTGCTCCGCGACTTGTCTCTTGCCTCGATCCTGACCGGCTGTACTGACGTTGAGAGAAAGAACATGTCAGATAACGAGATTGAGTACATGGGCAGTCTGCCGCCGCCCACACCACAAGCGCAACCAACGACGACGGCTCAGGCAGTCGCAGGTCGGTTTCTTTGAGTTATCGTCTTAGTATCCGCGCCTCAGTGCGCCCGCTCCTCTTAGGCATCGTCCTCACGGTAACAGGTGGCGACGAGCTCAATCGTACTCTACGCTTCCACAACTACCCGGCTACACGGGAGATCACGATTGGCCGCGCGTCCTCAAGCTTTCCCTGCAGGCCCGGCGGCCCAGATCCACTTCACGCATCCTTCCGCTGCCCCGTCATCAGCCGCAAGCACGCAACCATCGCATTTTTGGAATCCGGATATGTGTGTCTTATTCCTTCGCTCTCCACATCCTGCACGCCGGGAGAGACATATGCGCTTTTATACGGCGTGACTCGTTCTCGCGATGTCGTGCCGAGGACGCGCGGATATGGCCCGGTAGCCGAGCGCGTCTGTCGCAGTCGCGCTTGAGACATACGACTTCCTCGTGTGATCCCGTACTGTCTGCGCTCGTCCATGGACGTGAAGCACATCGATCACGCTCCTGCTTCGCTCAAGCGTCGCCACCACCGGGGGAGAAGGCTTGAAGCCCCTATCACGATGTGCCTTATTTTCCCTTTTCGGGAAATCTAGCCTTCAGCAGCTCTCCCGAGTCGTTGCGTGCCCTCCGACCTAGCTCCGACGTTCGGCTCGTAGTACATGACATTGACTATCTTCTGTCCAGGTTGCTATCACCGATCTACGCTCACATCACGGCACCTACGTTCGCAAGGCCGGCAGCTCGTTGGAACGCACGCTTTTGCCCAATCTCGCATTTCAATTGAACGACGGCGATTCCGTGACCTTGGGCAAGCGGGTTGCGAAAGACGACGGATGGGTCGACCCTGTCACCGTAGATGTTCATATCATCACCAGTCCTCAGCGTCTGGGCGACGAGAATCACTGGGTTCCTCCCATGCCTCCGCCACCGTTCAGCATTGGCCACTCGCAATCACATTCGGGTCGCTTTGGCCTCACTATTGGCGATATCTATTCATCGTCCTCCTCCAGCGAAGACGACTCGGACGTCGATGAAGCTCCGGAGGAGATCCCCATCGCTCGTGGGCCATCTCTTCTCGATCGACTCTCCGAACCCGTCGAACTACCGCCCGTCCGGTCGGGTTTCGCTAGATTCATCCCTCCTTACTACAACCACGGGCCGAGTCCTTCGCCAGAACTGGGCGATTTCTCCGTCGCGCAGATGCTGAATGCCTACGCGCGCGAACACAGCCCTTTCATTGTCGGCGCTTATCCCACGTCTGAAGATGACCGCGAGGATGTCGGCCGAGCACCGACTACCTTCTATACCCCCGCCATGCCACTCTCTCCGAAGCTCAACGAGCCGATGCGCATCATCCACGAGACCCCGGCTGAGGAAGAGGCGGAGGAGGAAGAAGAAGAGTCGATGGATATGGACAGCAACTTTGGCGACGAGCCCGTGGAGTCCGAACCTGCCGTTGTTGCGACTGTAGAGGCCCCTCATGATGTAATCCGAATTGATGCGGCGCCCGTCGTAGAGGAGCCGGCGGGTAACCCGCGTGTTGATGCACTCGAGGCTCGTTTGACTGTGCTCGACGATGCGATTGTCAACCTACGAGTGAGTCTTGCTTATCTCTCTGGTAGCGTTATCTCATCACTGCTCTATAGGGAAACGCGCTTCGCGATCATCTCGAGGCGCGCAAGACTCACGCAGCGGATGTCTCTAAAATGGACGCTCTGGGCGTTCGTACAGATGGACTGAGCAAGTCTATCGACGAACTTCGCCAGCGCGTCGAAGATGAAGACTCAGCGTCGCATGAGGATCTGATGGGCGAACTTGGAGACGTCCGTTACCAGCTCGACCAACTCGAAGATCAACTCAACGATCTCCGCGGTGACTTTGATGGCACCGAAGATACAACTCACGACCTCGAGATACGCGTTGATACACTCGAAAGCATGCGACTCAAAGCCGAGGAGGATGCCCAGAAGTCTCACGAGGAGCAGACTCAGAAGTTGCAGAGTCTCGTCACAGGTACGTCTCATCCCGTCCTTATGTATGCGCGCGAGATAGACATCGCCCTCGCGCTCTCCGCAGAGGTCCGCACCTTGCGTGACGACTTCAAGCGCGCTCTTGACGATGTCGCGGCCGAGCGCGTCCAGCTACAAGTCGAGCGCGTGGCGGCTCAAGATGAACGCGAGCGCATGGCGACTCAAATTGAACGCGAGCGCGCCGCAGCGGCGGCGGCGCTTCAGGCTGAACGCGAACGTGTTGCTCCACGCAGACTCAAGCGCAAGCTCGGCGAACTTGAGGATCAGGACGAGAGCGAGGGCGAATCCACCCGCGTGCTCATCCGCGCCCATTCGCGTAAACGCGCGCGTAGGAATGCTGAGCGCGTCGCCGGTGCTGTTGCGCGTGGAACGGCATACGCCGCCATTGGTGCGGTCGCGGCTTGGTCCGCGCTTGCCTTCGCTTGAACACGTAGCGGCGGCGCAGATGAGAGTTGTCCGTGTCCGTCCATCGGTTAATCGAAGGATTGAAGAAGGATGATGTGGTTTCTTGGGCAAGTATTTCCTCCTTCCGTCTGTATCATCAACCTGTATAGTACTTTGCATCGCCCTCCTTTTCTCGGACTCTTCTCATGTGGATTCCTGTGTATGTGTACTGTACGATACCGTGTCCAGTCTGGAACCTGTACTATGCAATAAACATGTGTTATTATGTCTTGCAGTCGTGGCATTGGCTTGTGGCGACGTCATGGGAAAATGGTATGACGTACGTGGATCATTGTTGACAGCCAGGTTCGAGGTCACCACGACGTGTTGCGTCCACCACCAACGCAGACCAGCGCATACATACACTTCAGAAGGTGCAGGTGCATAAATGCGAAGTCGTCGCGGAGTCATACAGTCACAGAATTCCTATCAGGTAACTTCAACGATTACAATTAAGCATGAATTCCGAGGTATCAATTTGATGAGGTGTAGTAGAGGCTGGATAGTAATACACAGTTATGAGTGCAGCGCTAATGATGTACTATAGATATAGAGAGGAGCAAGTGTGTGCACGAGTATGAGAGCGATGATGGGTAATATTGCGGATGAAAGGCAGGATGGGATGAGCACTTGCGATCAAGATGAAGCCGTACGTGATGGTGTTGTACAACGAAGGGAAATAGAATCACCGTACAAGGTATTTTGCTAGTGAGAAGGAGTCGGAAAGACCGTCTGCGCCCGGACTACAATAACGGCAGATCTGCGGACCCCAGAATGCCGCTTCTCATGCTGCCTCCTGCCCGTGAATAGCCGAGCAGCGTATCAAGCTTGCAGACGACGATGGCAACGGCCGCACAAGCGCCGGCAAGTCCTTCATATAGACTTGCAGGACGATCCCCATCGGCGAATGCACCGCGCGGCTGAAGCTCCGCTATGCACTGGGCAAGGTGTAGGCCATGCCAAAGATGGCGCTGACGTGCTTCTGGTGCTAGAGCAGGGCAGTCCGCGAGCATGAGCAGCGCACAGGCAGACGAAGATGCGCCATGGCAAAGTCCTGGACCTTTCCGCGTGAGGCCACGGGAGTACGTGAGTGCCGCGGCGCGATCAAGCGATGACAATATTGCGGAGCGCAGGTCAGACGAGAGACGTAGGGCCTTGGAGCGTTGCAGTATAGACGAGAGGAGGGGAATCATGCCTGTGCTTCCATGGCACCATCTAAGTCGGATGAATTCAGTGGGAAATGTACACGCTGGAGCGGACGTACTGGACGAGGTCGGACGATTTCGGGATGGTCACGGGCATGGTGCTCGCAGACGAGGGCCAGTTCCCCGACGCATCTTGGAGAAATAGTAAATGCTCCACAGTGTTACAGATGACGCCGGAATGTGTCACGAGGACGCTCTCTGGACAATGCAGAATGACGTCGAGGATGCCCGCTATGAAGACAGAGCCATCCAGGTTAGCGCTCTTTCGTCTCATGCGGGCATCGTTTAGAGAGAATCTTACCAACGCCATGAGCTGCACCCAGATACCGCTTACCATGCCACACCCACATCAGTCCTGGTCCCTCCGTTAGCCGAGACTCCGCTGAGAAACGGGTAGCCCCCGCTCTACCTCGGCGAATGAGGTCATCCACGAGGAGCTTCAGAGTAGGGGTCCGCGTGAGCGGCCGCAAAAGTTCGACAAGACTCTCAAGGCCATTAGGGCTCTCAGGACTGCCCTCGTTCAAGGTGGGAACAGCGCTCTTGAGTAGCAGAAGTGCATAGAGGAGCCCGGCGCGCCCATATAGCAATTCGCAGCCATCCTCCAGCATCTCAGAACCCTCGCCGTCCTGTGTAGCCGCGTTCGCTGCATCGTGTAGCAAACGTGCGCACCACGCGCATTCTTTCATGCTGAAGGGCGGCTGTTGTGAAGATGGCGAAGTAAAATGGCAGAGCTGGTAGTACAGGACCAAGGTCGCAGGACCGACCGATGTATCGAGAAAGCCGACTTTGCTGCCGCGTGAAGGTGTCTGTAGTGGGTCCGATTGGAGGGCTGAAACCAGCTGGGAATGCGCAGTTTGTCGACTCGTTAGGTGTGGTATGAAGGGCGCGATATGGTGATTGAGCAATGAGATCCCTGAGCATTGGGACATTCAGATTGAAGCCACTAGATGACATGCGCGGGGCGGAGAACCGACCTGCGAGACCGCTGTAGACGGTAGCACGTGGGTAATCCTGGGCGTGTTCATTGCTGTAACTGAGCGCGTGTGCCAAGAAGCCCGAAAGCTGTTCATGCAGCTGCTTGAGAGAAGTAGGGGAGAGCGAAGGCGGACGAGTAGGTAGCGGGATGTATCGTCGTCTGGGCGTGCCCGGAATCGAGAAGGACATGGCGGACGGGACGGGCATAAGCGTAAATGCAGTTCAGGATAACAGACGCTGAGAGATATGTCCTTGGGATTTCGCGGGGTGACGTCAATCCCCATACATTGATATAACGCGCCAGCATGCGGAGAGAGGATCTTCTGGCGCCAACTTCGCGATCAACTCTCTCGGCTAGCCGATACGACGGTGAACGAACGCCCGGCCGCAGCTCTTGTCCGCCGCTATCCTCATCCCTATTGTATCTTGAGTCCCTATTACCCTTAAGTCCTGAAGCGAGGACGCCCAACCATTCAGATTGGCCTACCTATCCGTCGCAGGGCGATGCAAGCCTGCGTAGTATGCCCCATCATGACGTAACGACGAATTTCTCCCTTCGATTTCCGGGTTTTGGTGCCACAAATACACGTATGACTGTCTGGTATACACCGGCCCACAAGCTTTGCAAACAGCCACTTCCGCTGCGCCGACGTCATGTGCGCGTATGCCTGCGTCGCGAACGGCATCATTGTGGCCATCTGTAGTGGGGGTGGAGGCGCGGTCCAGTCAAATGGCTGTACCGAGAACAAGGCTCTAAAGCCTTCGTGTGTCGCAGGCGGCCTGTCGCCTGATGATAGGGAGCCAAGCCATGCGCGTAGGTGACGCTTCTGTCGCTGGCTTCGTGACGGATGCACGAATCCGGTTCATGCAAGCAGGCGCGCAGATGTCGCCGGCGGAAACTCCATCACTTTATGTAGGTGTGCGCGCCCGGTGTCGTGTTTCGATGACAAGGATGCAGGGTGTGGCTTGATTCGCGTTGAAGTCAAGACGACGGAGGCTGAGATTCGGCCCAAATCCGAGCTCCTACAGGCGCCCCTGAACGCAACGTCAACGCGGGATTGCATGGATGAGATGGAATAGCCCGCATGCAGCAAAACTGATCGTCCTAAGCTGGCCACCAGAGTCGAATATTCGGCGGCTGTCCACGAGGCGAAAGCAGGTCGCGAACCAACGGTATGTCTTTCAATACTTTGCTGAGGTTCGACGGCCTGGGTCTGGCCTGGGTCAGGTGAGAATGTGAATCCCAGCGAGACTGTAGGCGGAGACGGGGACCTTCTCGAACAAACCGGCTACAGCAGATTTCGACCGTTGACTGCGCATCGTTATTGAATGCGCAGATGGCCTTGGTTGGTGAGGATGTGCAAGTATGTGTATTCTCGCATTCGGAGCATTCGCACGAACGCTCACTTGCGGCTACCTCCTGACAAAGTGCGCTGGCGCTACCTTGGGATCGCAAATGTCAGACTGGTTCAAAACCTTTGGCTCCCAAATCACCTACGCATGGACCCTTCACCGATCGAGTGAAATTCCCCAGCCACGGTCAACTCTTCCACCTTCGACGATCCAGCAGGATGGCAGCTGCGGACACTACAGTCGCACGGCCCAACGCGCGACGTATCATGCAGTGGAAGGTGAGGCGAGAAGACGGGAGAGAGGTCCGTTGACTTGACACAATGAGAAGCACAGCCGTAGAATGCCGATAGAAACGAGTACTGGATAGAGTCGACGAGTCGCTACGCAGGTTGCACGCACTGTGACGGTTCGCTTAACTGGTACCGGCAAGCTGACACATGAGAATTTCGAAGGCAGCTTGCCGCCAGCGCATCATGTTCGCCCTTCCATTCAATCACGAACCGGTGGTGAGATCGCCGGAAATACGAGGCAGCTTGGCAATACGTGTCCGCATATACAACAGTAGCGCCGTCAATGATTTGAGCCGCTGTAAGCCATTGTCGCCCTACAGAGCCATGGGGGTTTATATTGAGGCGCAGATGATGCGCCGTGAGTCCAGTGGCGCAGCTGTCAAGAGATGGCGCGCCGAGACAGGCTTTTAGGGACGGCCATGGTGCACAGGTTTCCTCCTCTTCTTCCTCCATCACCGCCCCCTGAGGTGTCAAAAAGCCACCTGTATCCTCTGCTCTAGTTGAGGGCTGCGTTGCGTGTGAACCTACGATAAATCACATTCAATCGCACGCGTTCGCGATGGCTCTGTGCGTGCATTGCCTCTTCGAGACTCCTGTCATTCTCAAAGTTGCTACCATACAAGGGGTGACATCTTCTCGCTTTTATTCGTGCGTCATTTCTGTTCGGGAGCTTGGACTTACGGCTTACGTCCTCTCTGCACCATAGACTACTGCACTGTTCGTCGGGACTATCGTCGGTGTGGTCATTGCCTTTCAAAAGATCTCGAACGCCATAGACAACACCAAAGCACAGTACGCAGGACGCTTGCATCCCTTTGAGCTTGGGCTCAAGTTACTCCATAGGCTGAAGGATAAAGGCTGGCATATCTCAGAATCTGGTGTGTCTGTCAAGACGGATAAGCGGATGGTGACGCAGGAGGATCAAGTCGATGCGGCTCAACGGTGCGTTCATCCGCTGACTGTACCGGACTTACGTGTCTAACGCTGTCGTACAGTGGTATGTTCAAGGCGATGAACGCGGCTTCCTTCCGCAAGGGCGCAGGCGGCGACGTCACAAGCCCCGAGTCCTCGCCACAACTCGGTGTGCCTCAAGCCAACCGCTCGCTCTCGCGCAGCAGCTCGCGTTCAAGCCTGGGTGGAGACGGCATTGAGGAAAAGAAAAGCCGTCACCGTTTCCGCCGCAACAAAGATTCCGTGACTTCGTGATAGCGATATTTAACATTCATAGGTCCATCGGTGGTCATCTGGTTCAGATTTCGAGCTGTGGTATAGTGCATCATGGACAGTATTCGGGATCAACAGTATGGGAGGTCGTTGTTTGTATATAAGTTGCTTATCCCACCCTTTTCCAGTACCACATTCTCTGGCGAATGCCGAGCCTTAGCGCCCTGGTGCTCGAGTCCAACTATCGTGAAATGTGCCACGCATGAATATTTGAATCGTTGCGATAATTGTCAAGATGCGCAATCTCTGAGCGACGTAACGATCTCCATCTCTACTGTCCTGGCGCAGCCGGCGGCACTGAACCGACGGTACCCAGCGCCTGTGAGGCACCACCTTGCGGTTGAAGTTTATGTGTCCGTTGTGGAGGCGATGACGCAAGGTGCCTGCCCGTTATGGACAGGCTTCCCCGGACCGGCTGCGCCCACTCGGTATTTTCCCCTCATGCGCCACAAGCTCACCCCAACCTCACCTTCTTGGCGTGAGTTTGATGAACATCACACCTCTTCCCTGAAGAGTTCGAGATTCAACTAGGTGGAATATCGCTACTATTCTTTGGTCAAGTTAGTCAACGCCATGGAAATACGAGAGGCAGCGCGCGAGATCATCTCTTATATTCTGCGTCCGGAGTCCGAAAATGGTCCGAGCAACAATGGACCAACACGGAAGCATGGTCTCTACGCAGGCACTCGGTGGCGTTTTAGAGCTTATGTGAATTGCAAATCTGACCTCATAGCAGACGTGCACAAGAACAGCACATATATCTCTCCAGCAATGCAATCTCGTCGTCAATCAACGACCATCTCGCCCTTTCTCCCGCAATGCCACCCACATCCAGAGTCGTATCTCGAGCGACGACCGCCATCCCACGCGTCAGTCCTGCACATGCAACACCTGCACGAGTGCGCAAGGCACCGAATCGCCCACCACCGCTGAAGAAGCCGTATCTTGAAACCCGCGTCGTGAGTAGCCAGTGCCACTTCCTCTTCTGACGTAGCACTGACGAGCACAAACAGTATACCGCTCGAGCTGTATGCGACACGCAGGGAAGAAACGGCTTGGTTACTGCCACCGATGCAAACGACGAGCCCATCGAGATCAACATGTGCTACCCGCGCTCCATGGGCGGCCGCGGCTTGGGCCACAACCCCGAGCAACTGTTCGCTGCTGCATACGCGTCGTCATTCGCGAGCGCCCTCCAGCATGCAGCTTCGCTTCAGGACAAGCTCGATGCGGTTCGCGAAGTGAAGACCCACGCGGCTGTTGTCCTCGGGCACCCTTCTGACAACAAGGGCTTTGGCGTCGAGGTCAATCTTACCGTGGAGGGCTGTGAGGACGACGAGTTGATCGCGGCGGCCCATGATGTGTGTGATACTACACTTCATCCATGATTCGTGATCGAAGCTGACGGGGTGTGTATCAGGGATGCGCTTATTCACGACTGTTGCGCAAAGGTGGCCCTGTCCGGGTCCTGAAAGACTCGGAGGACGACGCCTGAAAGCGGCGGTTACAAAGGACTTGGACATTTTACCCTGTGGATCAAACTACCAAAGCCCCAGTATAACCACATATACCTTATACCCCGTCTTCGTAGCATTTACAGTTTTGTAATGGACCTTCTGGATTGATTGTAATCAAGCTGCTGCCTGTGTATGAGTTCAGTACTTCATTTCCGTCACAGGAATGGTAGTCGCACCTTCTCATCCGCCAGTATCTTTTGTACACCCGCCAGCAACTCGGAGTGGATACCCCTGCCACAACCTACAACACCAACGTGTGTCCCAAGATAGCGACCAACTCCGAAATCCAGAGGCTTCCCGTACGCGTCCGTAACGATACCACCTGCTTCCTCGACCAGTAGCGATCCAGACGCATGATCCTGCGCGAGATCAATCTTCAGCGCGCACGCTCTGGTAGTGAAGAAGTCTCACGCACCCATATCTTCTCCCTATACTTGGGATCGACCGGTAAACGCAAGTAGACGCCCCCGTTGTTGTCGCCCCGAGCGAGCGCGGCGTACTTGGCCTGCGAGTCCATGCGCACGGGCTCCCGGGTCACGTTGAGGTACTGCGCTATCTTCGCGTTCGTGTCCAGCGCCGCGTGTGCCTTCTCGACAGACTCGAGGAAGGAGACGTGCTGGAGAGGGAGATCGGGCATCTTGAGCGGGACCGGCGGCGCTTTTGATGCGACAGACGGAGATAACGGGTACTGGAAAGCGCCCTTCCCGCGCGCGGCAACGAACAGGGCGCCGGACGGCCCAGACGGGATGGCAGGATCCAATGGCAGATTTGGGCATCCGATGACGCCGAGCTCGACGCGCGAGTCGACAATCAAGGCAAGGCAGACTGCATATTGGCCGCCTCTGAGGAAACCCTTCGTCCCATCAATAGGGTCCAGAGTCCACATCCCTGTACATGTATGTCAGAAATAATTACCCGAGAGTGAATCAAACCACCTACGCCCTGTCCTCCCTCCCTCGTAGTTGCCGCGATCAATCGCTTTCAACAGTTCGTCCGCACCCCATTGCTTTCCTAACCCCCAGGATTCAGACTCATCGAAATCCGCGCCGGGCGCCTCCGCCAGGGTATCGTTGGCCAATTGCACGACGCGCTCACGCAAAGTCTCGTTCGAGCGCAAGTCGTCCGCGTCTTCTTCGCCGACTATAGGGTCAGAGGGAAATGCGTGAGAGAGGATAGTGTTCACGACGGCCTGTGCAGAGAAATCAGCGACTGAATGGTAGTCAATGAGCTTATCCCGAAGATAGTAAGTAAGTATGCACCTGTCACGGGGCTCTTGTCGCCCTTGGTGAGCGTCTCGCCCTTGACGAGGTGGTTGAAGACAGCGCTCGTCAGCTTGCAGGCGCGCCGGACGGCGGCGATCGCGACAGTCTGCTCTGCAGAGTAATCGGTCATCGTGGATGGGACGCGACAGGAAATCTGCACGAACGGTCTGCATTTGCGGCTTTACGGCTTCTCTCCAAGTCGCGGGTGGCGCCGACAAGGAGTCGCGTCTAATTCTTGTTCTCGCGGTCTCACGCAGTGCGGTCTGCACTTGGACGTCTACCACCACGGTCTTCGAACGCAAATACCACACAATTGCTCACTACACGTTCGGGACAACTGTTCATTGAGAAAGGTTTGCTAGGCGCTGCACAACATCTAGAGTTACTTGGGTACCGCAATGATGGAGTGATTGGCAATGTTCATCGGCCGACTGCCGTAGTTGACTCTCTCGATCTCCCACCCGCTCCGTGAAAGCAACTCGCGGAACTGTGTCAAAGTGCGTTCTTGTGCGAAGTGCGAAGCCATCATCTGACGCATCCCCTCCTTAGTACAGGTTCAAGAGCGTATCCATGAAAGCGTACCTGCATATCCATATTATACATCTTAGAATTGGCGCGTCCCCAATTCGGAAGAAGAGGTTCCGGCGGCCGAGTAAGGAGCTTGTGCGCTGAAAACTTGTTCTCTACGTCTTCGCAGGCATACTGCATGATCATGTCGTGTATTACCAGTCGGCGTCACGAAGCCGTTTAAGAAGTGTCTCGGTTGTAGAATCAGACCAGTTATGGGCGACGTGCCTCAAGCTAAATTTCGGTCAGATAGGCACGACTTGGAACGACAGGTCCGCGTACTAGTAGACCGAAGCGTCCTGGATGGGCTGAGGGGTGAATATGTCGTGCGCTGAACATGATATCATCAGGAAACGATCCGTATCGGGCACGATGCGGACTTGCCTTGAACCTGTATCTGTCCAGATTCCACGGCTGAGGGGAGCACCTTCTTTGTATACTGCTTCAGGTTAGCATGCAACGGTCTGGGTCGTCTGTTTCTTCATATTGACCTTCATTGCGTCAGCACACACAGCCTCTCTGTCCTGAACGACCAGCTTCAAGCTCGGGTAGCTACGCGCTAGGGTCACCATTTGGCTCCCGATCCCTCCTCCAACATCGACAACGATGCTCCCCGCAGGCAACGAAGTCCAGTCGAATACTACAGGAGCCATCAGCACATCGAATGGACACAGGAGCCGGCTGACAGACCTTCGAGGATGGACTCCGGATGGGAACGCTGCGTAAGTCCAGTCATGGCGGCACCGAACTTTTCCCTCATATGCTCATTACCGGGTAGGTCCAGATATTCGAAGAAAGTGCCGTCCATGTTTGCCACTTTGGCGAACGCCGTCTCGTTCAAGTTGACTGAGTGCGACGTGGCGGGAGACAGGAGTACGTCAGGCAGTTGCGCCGCCGCCTTGAAGCAAAAGTCGAGCCTGAAGCAGGCCCATAAGGATGTACGGCTCGTATCAACCGATTTGAGACTCACGCGAAGCTGACAAATGCTGGGAAGGGGACGAGCTTCGCGGACGGGCTATGGTGGCCTCAGTAGTGCCGTATCGATGATCGCGCCATCTGGACTCACTCGGTGATTAGCTCGGCACACGACCGACCCGAGTCCAGTGAGCTAGAGAGCCTGGTATTGGCAAAGACGTCGGGGGTGACCTCCCTGAAGATATGGTTGGTCGCTAGGAGGCGGAGGACTCGCGCTTAATACATTGAACAAGTAATGGGGTGCCGATAATCATCAGCTGGCTGTTGGACGTAAGATGCCTCTTATTGTGCCTCACCCAGTTTGGAAGGATCAAGGTTTCTCTGCTTGGCGATGGCCTCGACATGCTATCAATGGAGCGGGTCACTCCTCCATATCATGAGCATGCGTAATCGCGACTCACCGAAGGCCCATGCTCCCTGAGGAACTCTGTCACGTCGGCCTCGAGAGCGACTCTCAATGCGGCACATAGGTGAAACTGAGCACTGATTCATGGCAAGTCGGCAAGGATGACCGTCGGTTAGCGTACCTTGAACGAGATGTCCAATATCGTCAGGCTTGGTGGCCTGACTACCGTGGCAATCTGCTCAGCTGCGGCCACGATATTGACGATAGCATCAGCGACTTCGGGCACGGAGCGTATATCCTCCTCTTCCTCTGAGTAGTGCTGTGAATCCAGAGAAGGAAAGTCGACGGAGCGGGTGGTCAGTGCCTGTTCGATGCGACCAACGGCCTCACTAATGAGGTTCGATAGATTGCGCAGGTCGGAGAGCCCAGACGGATGCATTGAGTTGTACAAGGAAGACAAGAACTGCGAGAAGAGAGCTGTGAAGTGCCCAATTATAGGGACTCACGGTCACCGTGAGCTTTATATATACCTCTTGCCAGTATATTTATGTGACGTACATCGGCAGCAACTTGGGACCTGGCCTGTCCAATGTGGAAAGCGAGGTATATCGCCTCCGAAAGTCCTATCATACTGCTCAGCATATCGGTGTCACTGAACCTCCGTTTCATCCATGGAGATAGCACTTGTGAAGTCGCAGACGTGCAAGAGCTCAGCTGCTCACCATTCATTCGCGCTCACACGGGGGCGTCGAGTGTACGCAGTTCACACTAGCTAGAGGTCCATCATGCTATAGCGTACGTCGGCCGCCGTTGGACAGACTTCAGGAAGTCAATCACGAATAGTAGTCGTGATATCTTCGACTCTGAACCCTGTTCTTCCGGACGTATGTAGTGCGCAGCTCTACAGAACTGTCATACAGATGAGAGTGCTGATAATCAGTCACCAGCGATAGGATAGCACTATCAGTAAGCTAAGAAGTTTGAAGATGCCGCCTTGACCTGGTATATGGCGCACATGCTGATACAGCGCAGGTCGAGAAATGTCTCTCCTTCTGTCAGCCAAACATAACATACAAGACTAATCCCTCTTCTTTAGCAGGTTGCTGGAGTACAATCCTCTCATAAGTATGACCCTTGGCAGCTCTCGAAAGATGCTGGTAGCCTGTCGACCGCGATCTCGCGGGCGAACTGGCGGCGCGTATGTTTTGCGTGTGTGTCATATCATCGTCCATCAGAAAACCATCGGAGCTGAATACCGTCTGAAGACAGATCTCGTGGCAGTGTATCATCTCATGGCGGTGAATTTGAAGCCTAGTAAGGCCGGACCACGTCCATGGGTTCGGGCACGATGAAACGTCGCCTGAACACAAGTCTTCTGACATGTTATCGTGAAGCCTTATTAGCATCAGAAGCTATACCATGGTCTCAGCAGCCTAAAGCATTGAGTCCATTAGTAAGTATGCGCCGAAGATGATAACACCGTACGCACAGCGAGACTTCGAGAGGACGCTTGCCTCCCAGCATGCTTGCGGGCGACTTCCCCGCGACCCTCCCGCGCAAAACCGTCCCGCAGCCTATTGTACTGGCAAGCCGCATCTATTGCATTCATTTGGAGGATCAAGGATCATGTCATACAGATGTCCAGCATAATGCAATGTAGAGACAAGTCATCGAAGCAGTCAGAGCAATCGCAAAATGGTGATCAAACACCCGCGCTCGATAATGATCCGACCGCGAATCTCGGCCATCGCCGTCAGTCATTGCCGCAAAGCCATACTGTGGCACTGCTGGTCTCTACAGCCAATGAGTCATCTACATACACGAGCAGGAGTCGACGTGTCGTCCCAGATACGGCCATCCTTGCTTCGAATCGACGCGTCAAGCATCGGTGATTGGACTAGTAGCCCACACAAATTGCGTACGATCATCCTAAACCTGGTCATTATGATATTTTAGTGGTAGTACATGGGATATGGACCTAGCAAAGATAACTCTACGCGATGCTCGCATGCCGGGGGGAAAAGACCACGCTGGAAAGGTGATGGGTGTACGTAGCATCCGGGGTATACAGGATGCCGATGCGAAACGTACACGGAGACACAGTGCAATCCGATGACATTCCGTGGCGTCTTGTACTTCTGATAGCGGAGGGTCCTGTCGGAGTTCCAACGCTGTCTGAGTGGACAAGAATTGCAAATGATGCGCCAATACTCAGTCGCAAGGGACACTTAGTAATAGCTTTGCGCTCTGGACAGTCCCTCGTTGCCGGCTTTCCGGAACAGGCGGTACAGGTAGCATGATCATGCGATAGCGGCCAAAAATACATGGCTCTACCACAGTTGATCTCCACGGCAAGATGAAGGTTCGTCCGGGTTCGTCGCGGGAGAGAAATCCAATAAATCCGGAAAGCCGGCCTTTGCCGCGAACCATTTCCCACGGGTTCAGACTCAGACCCCGCAGAATGCAGACTCGTCGAGGTCTGTGCTGTGCGCCTCCACGAGGGCATCAGATTCGTCGACCAATTGCGCCACGCGTGAGTGCGAAGTCTCATTCGAGCGCCTTGAGTCGTCAGCGTCTTCTTTTCCGACAACAAAATCAGAGGGAAATGCTCGTGAGAGGGTAAGTAGTATTCACGACGGCCTGTGCAGAGAACACGGTCACTATGACTACATATCACGAATGTGAATAGCATGGGCGCTCTGTCACAGGGCTTTTGTCGCCCTTGGCTCGGAGCGCGAGCGCTTGAGCGTCTCCACGGGGCTGAAGACGGCGCTCGTCAGCTTCCATGTGCGCCGGGCGGCAACGGCAATCGCGACGGTCCGTTTTGTAAAGTAAACGGTCATCGTGGATGGGGTAGTGGATGAGGCGCAATAGGAAATCTGCACAAACGGTCTGCAAGGCGGCTTTATGGCTTCTCTGCAACTCGTGGATGGCGTCGACATGCTCATCTTGGTCGTGTTGTACTTACCCAGGTTCTCGCAATCCCACGCGCTCTCAACTGGAACTTACACTACCATCATCACCACTACAGCCTTCTTGATGTCCATCAGTGCTGCCTCGAACCTGGTGACCGCAAGACGTACGACAAGTCTCCACCGTTGAATTTTCCTCCCTCGCTGCCACACCAGCGAATTGTGTTCATAATGTTCATCTCAGTACAAGTACAGATCGACGGGTATACCGTACGGGATAAGCAATACGCAACCCACTCTGATACCCTCAGCCTCATTAAATTGTACGATCGCTCTCTGTCCTACGGGATATCGGGTATCGCAATCATGGAGTTATTCGTGATAGCCATCGGCCGACTGCCATAGTTGACCCTGGCGATCTTCCACCCACCTTTCGCGAGCAGAGCACGGAAATGCGGCAACGTACGCTCTTGGGAGTGGCACTCAGCCATCATCTACAAGCTCTCGCGCATCAACAGTCACATCTGACAGTGCCTAGGGACGAAAGCGTACTAGCATGTCCATGACATACATCTCCGAGTTGGCGCGCCCCCAGTTTCCAAGAAGCGGTTCCGGAGGCGCAGAAGAGAGTTCGCTGAAGACAGCGTCTACCCCCTCCTCGGCGCATACGTGCTGCATGATGGAATCATGCAAGACAAGTCGCGTATCCGGCTGTGCGACGTCTCGAAGTCGCTGTAGAATCTTCACGGCCAAGGCATCGGGCCAGTTATGACAGATCTGCCTAAGGCTGATGTATCGTCAGTGCCGTTGTCGCTGAGACGAGATACCCACAACGTACTAGAACACTGACGCATTCTTGACGGGCTGAGGCTCGAAGAAGTCGTGTGCTACAAGGTATGCGCAAATACTCGTCAAATGTAAAAAAGCCTGGCTCACCTTGAATTTGTAGTCGATTCGCCTGCACAGCTGACGGGAGCTCCTGCATCACATACTGGAGAATGAGATATGCGTGAGTTGAATGTTGCATCGTGGGCGATGATTGATCATACCTTTGACGCGTCGATGCACACAGCTTTTCTGTCTTGCGAGACCAACGTCAGGTGATCAAACTTCCGGGCAAGGTGGACCATCTGAGTCCCGATTCCACCTCCTACATCGACTACTACACTTCCAGTAGGTAACGAGGACCAGTCAAAGACTGATGTAAAGGCAGTCAACTGCATGCCATTGCCATATTGGAGCCCTGCTTGCCTTCAAGGATCGAATCTGGATGTGCGAGTGCGCCAATGCCGAGCATCGCGGCGCCAAATCTTTCCCTTTGGCGTTCGTTCCCGGGGAGCTCGAGAAGATCCCAGAACCTTCCGTTGAAGTTGAAGGCCCTACTAAACGCAGAGTCGTCCGGGTTTGTCGAGTGCGATGTAGCAGGGTCCAACACCACGTCGGGCATATAAGCACTCCCTTTGAATGATGTGTCGAGCCTAGGGCTCATTCGTCAATGGTAACACCAAGCGAGACAGGCTACGCACATGAAACCCATGATCGCTGGGAATCCGACAAGCTTGGCTGATGGGCTATAAAGTGCCTCAGGTCAGCAAGATTACCAGCTCTTCCAAGCGAACTCACTCGGCGGCGAGTTGCTCGCAGGAACGGCCTGTATCGAGGGTGCTCGAGAGTCTGTTGTTAGTGAACACATCTGGAGACGCTTCTGTGAAGACATGGTGCGTCGCGAGTGTGCGGAGAATGCGCCCTAGATGAATGTGCAGTCAGGATGTAATCAGTATCCCCCCTTCTTATGATCTTGGAAGATCATGGTTGAAGAGATCTTACCGAGTTTGGAAGGGTCGAGGTTCCTTTGCTTAGCAATGGATGTGATATTCTAAAGGAGCTTGTCGTGAGCTGAGGCAGAAGGCTAATGGAATGTGATTCACAGAGGGACCGTGCTCTCTCAAGTACTCTGCTACGTCACCCTCCATAGCCACCCTTAAAGCGGCACACACATGGACCTATCGGGGTACTCAGCTCTCTCGTGGCTGGGTACGTATAACGGCATGTAGGGGTGCTGACCTTAAAAGACATGTCAAGCATGGTAGGACCTGGTGGTCTTGCTACCATTGCGAGCTGCTCGGCAGCTGCCACGATGGCAATGATGGCGTTTGCGACTTCGGGCAGAGTGCGAACTCGCTCTTCTTCTTCTTCGTAGACGGAATTGAGAGGAGGGAAGTCGAGTGAGCGAGCAGACAGAGTTCCCTCTATTTGATCGACCGCTTGGCTGATTATATCGGATAGCTTGCGCAAGTCGGAGAGTCCAGGGGCGGACATAACGTAAAGAGGAGGATGCGGTGATCTGGTAGTATAGACGGAGGATACGGGAGAACACAGAACACACTATCGCCCGCCCCGCGCTCAGCTTATAGTCGCGGTCAAGTAGGCGGATCCCCTTTCCGATACTCCAACGTGTGTTCGCCATTTGAACACCTCGGACGCTGGGAAGCTCTTATCAAGAATGACAACAAGTGTATGAGCGAGAACACAGACCTTGGCGCCTGGGGTTGCCAACACTTGTGACTACGGCATATCCGATACCGTCAGCATAACACATATCCATGGTGAAGACACCATGCATACTAGTGCATCGCGGTTTCGGTATTCGAATGGAGTAGAGCTTACAAAGGATTGAACAACGTGGGCAGTATGGCCAGCGAGGCCATTCTGCTAGCCCATTATTCAAAAAAGATGGCCCAGGTACCGGTAAACCGCGATGCGTGAAGTCCATGAGACAACACCGGTGGCTTATCTTCACAGTACGTCATACTACCGGCTGACGAGGAGAGAATCTCCGCCGAAGAAGGATGGCGTGTACACCGGGCGTCCGACTGCGAGCATGTAGCCAAGTTTGAAGATGCCAGTGATTGAGGAGGCGTAAATGTGGATACAGTGCTGACCCGTGACTCGCTCGAGCGTACTCTTGAACGTGTCGAAGCCGGACCGTCATCGTTGACAATTAATAGCAGGCATAGCGCCAAGGACCCCTGCCTTCACATTCCGCGGCCAGTTCGCACCCCAAACATATATGCCTCCGCCTGGCCGAAAATGAAAACAGGAAGGCTTTTGATCGGTGTCAAGGTGAGAGTTCGTTGACGGGGAATATCTCCGAGAAGCCGAAGTTCCGGCCGTTGCCGCAGATGGTTTCCCGCGCATCGTTGCAATATACAACGTTGCAACAAACCGGCATGATACATTTGGACAATGGTATTATTATGCATTGGAACAGGCAATATTAAATTGTACTGGTTGTCAAGCATCTCAGAAATCCGACAGGCCCGCGTTTCCTCCCTGGATCGTCAATGGGGCTACTTGGGTAACGCGATGATGGAATGGTTCGCGATGGCCATTGGGCGACTACCGTAGTTTACCTGGGCTACTTCCCATCCACTCTGTGCGAGTAATGCCCGAAACTGCGTCGAGGTACGTTCCTGTGCATGATACACAGCCATCATCTGTGAATGTACTTGTCAGTAGTTCCGGACCCACATCAAGGAACTCTCAAGTTCGCGCACCTGCATGTCCATATTATACATCTCCGAGTTCGCTCGGCCCCAGTTCGCAAGGAGGGGCTCAGGAGCAGTGGGTGGAAGATCTTTGATGCCAGAACCGTCTCTTCCCTCGACGCAAGTATGTTGCATGATTGAGTCGTGCAATATCAGCTTTGTGTCCGGCCGTGCAGCCTCGCGAAGACGACGAAGAATCTTCACAGCCAACGAGTCAGGCCAGTCGTGACAGACATGCCTCAGACTAATGAGCATTCAGATCTATGGGCGACTATGGACGAAGGAGAAGGTATGAGCAACGCACTAGAAGACGGCCGCATCTTCGACTGGTTGGGGCTCGAAGAAGTCGTGCGCTAAGACGTCATGAGTGACCGCTCGCATCAGAGATGTCAACCTGACACCTACCCTGAACTCGTAGTCTGCTCTCCTGCACAGCCGAAGGGAACTCCTGCATCACATACTGAAAGTTTGGTGATCAGCGATTCGCCCACCAAGGCGTTTTAGCTACCTGCATACCTTCGAAGCGTCGGCACATACAGCCTCTCTTTCTTGTACAAGCAGCCTAAGACCATCAAACTTGCGCGCCAGAATGACCATCTGAGTACCAATACCACCTCCTATATCAACCACGAGGCTCCCGATTGGCAGCGAGGCCCAGTCGAACACTGATCATGCATGAGTGACGACCGCGACCTTTACGACAAGGGCTGCTCACCTTCAAGAATCGAGTCGGGATGTGCGAGCGCGGCGATCCCATGCATAGCAGCTCCAAACCGTTCTCTCTGGCGCTCACTCCCCGGAAGTTCTAAGAGATCCCAGAAAGGTCCGTCGTAGTTGAAGGCCTTGCTGAAAGCTGCGTTATTTGGGCTCGTCGAGTGCGAAGTCGCGGGATCCAGAAGTACATCCGCCAGATATGCACTGCCTTTGAAAGAGGAGTCAAGCCTGGCATATGATCAGTCTTTGCCTCCATCTGAGGTGAGGAGGATACGCACATGAAACTGACGATGGCCGGAAAGCGGACCAGCTTCGCGGATGGGCTGCAGTACCCTTCAACTACGCCGTGCCATGCAGTGACTTATGAGCACTCACTCCTTGAGAAGTTGATCACAAGAACAGCCCGAGTCGAGCGTGCTAGACAGCCTATTGTTCACGAAGACGTCAGGGGAGACTTCTCTGAAGATATGGTTTGTCGCCAAGTTCCGAAGGATACGTCCTGGATCAGTCACCCTCAGTGATCTTGAAGACTCGACATCTGAGAGGTGCTAATTCAACCGCACCTAGTTTCAATGGGTCCACGGCCTTGTGCTTTGCGATGGTCTCGACACTCTGTTTCATGGGTCTAGTCCCATTTCCCGAGAGAATATAGCGAGAGTGGCTCACCGATGGGCCATGTTCCCTTAGGAACTCCGCGACATCGGCTTCCAATGCGACCCGCAGAGCAGCACAGAGATGGAACTGGCAGAAGCCTTTTGAGTTTCTCCTAACATAGAGTAAGGATTGGTAGACGGCAGTACCTTGAACGATATGTCCAAAATGGTGAGGCTTGGGGATCGTGTTACCATCGCGAGCTGCTCTGAAGCAGCAACGATAGCAGTGATAGCATCGGCAATTGCAGGTGTTGCGCGTATCTCCTCGTCTTCCTCGGTGTACGTCGAGTTGAGGGAAGGGAAATCGACGGAACGAGCAGACAGAGTATGTTCAATGTGGTCGACAGCGTCATTGATGATGTTGGAAAGCTTGCGTAGTTCGGAGAGTCCAGACGGTGACATGGTACAGGCAATGCGAAGAGATAGAAGCTGGAGAATAGGAGATTAGGAGGGGCACTGTAGGAGTTGCAGCTCGCGACCCAGGCCTATAAGCAATTCACCAGTGCTTTCGGAGCAAGGCGGAATAGTATGATATCCGCCATCAACTAAGCCAACATCTGGAGCGTACAATTGTGGATAACCTCGAGTGGAGACGGAAGTAGCAAATCCTTAGCTTTACGTAGAAGCGTTCTCACGCAGGCATCGCCTACTCATGAGCAAAGTCCGGTTATAGAGCCACACACCCCTTCTATGCCTCAAGCACGCATGTTACCCAAAGGCATGCATCGGACAAACCTGTCAGTCTGACAGATAACCGTCAATGACCTTGATATCCGTTGACGTTGGCCCATGAAGCATATGTTGCACATGTGCGTCCTTTGATCGATGGCGTCCGTAATCGTGTGGTTCTTGCAGAGGTTCACTTGTGCCGTAACGTCTCGAGCACGCTAAGCTAGTGAAAGTACATCGTAGGACATGAAAGATAGAGAAGCGCTGCGGGGAATGAAAACCTGGACCACAATAAACAGGGCTGATGCTACGAGAGCTGCCTCCCACGCTAAACGTAAAGCACTCGGAGCTCACGCTTCGTCGTCGATGGACATCGTAGGCGTAGCGCCACCAGCTAGTCTTGTCTCTCTCCTAGCACGCTTAGCAACCGCCTTGCGCTCTAAGCGAGCGTGCCTTCTGCTTGCCACAACAGAGAGCACGGGCGCAGATGCCGCGCGTGCAGCAGCCTTGCGCATGCGTTTCGGTGCACGCTCTACGAGATCCAACACGTTGACAGTAGCAGCGGGAGAAGGCGAACGGCGGCGTTTTGAGCCCGCACTGATGGGCCCGCCGTCATCAACGATCATCCCATGATCGGAAAGTGGGACCGAGTCTGCTTGCATATCCTCGTCGGCGGGACCTTCCTCATCATCGGGAACGAACCCTCCGTCGGCATCCATAGCGGCGTCATCAGGGTTAGCCTCAGCGTCCATGGCGGCGTCAGCGTCTCCGAAAAGACCAGCAAGGGCGAAAGGCGCGCTGAAAGATGAGAGAATCTGAGCCTCCCCTGTGTGCTCGGCGCCTGGTCTGATCAGTGGTTCTGCGCCGACAGGGCCCGCGATAGTTGAAGGCACCAAAGAGGGATGTATTGTCGGTGGCTCGGAATAGAACGGAATCTTCTGGTGATTCCAGTCTCCGAGGACTACGCGGGCCGCAGCAAGGACGTCCGGCGTCCCTCCCTGAAGGGGATATCAGGCTACGTCTACAAGTACAGAAGGAGAGAAAAAGACCTTGAGTAGTTTGCCGGAGTTCAAGGATAGCATAGTCAGGAACTCGAGGGGCGAGGAGAACTCGGGAAGATTGTAAATCTTCATGATCTTCTCCTTCTCCGTACGGCTGAGAATCTGCTCGACTGAAGAAGCAAAGTCAGCGATATCGTTACCCAAAGTAACAGTGCAGCACTCGCCGACGGCGATTGGGTCCTCTACGTCCTCCACCTTCACGACGTTGCGCAGAAGTACACCGATTTGCTGGGAAGCGTCTTGCGAGTCTTCATCGAAGATGACACCGGGAGAATCAACGATCTTGAGTCCACGCTCGAGCTGCACCGTCTGAAGTTCCTTCGTGTGACCCGGCTGGGCTGCTACCGGGCAGACTTTCGCGCGCTTGAGACTGTTGATGAGACTGCTCTTGCCAACGTTTGGATATCCGACCACGCCGACCGCTATACTTTGAGCAGCCGAAGGTCGATATGCCTTCAGGAGACGCAGCAAGGCGGGTGCTGTGCTTGAAGATAGGTTCGACCGCTGATGTGCGCTCGCAGAGCGGAACGGGAGCGTTGGCGCGATATGTCGCAAGTGTTTCAACCACGCCTCGGCGTTCGCTCGAGGAACGAGATCTTTCGGTTCGTGAGCCACACAGTTCGCACTTTGGGGTGAACTACCCACCAATCTTATTCAGGACGAAAACGAGTTTCTTGCCCTCGGATTCCCGGCGCCGAACTTCTTCCTCCAATACCCGACTTCGGCACCCCTCAGGATCCCTCGCATCCAGTACGAGCACAACCACATCGGCCTCTTCCACGACCTTATGCAGCGTGCGAACATAGTGCCTCCTTAGCTGCTCCTTCGTCTTCGACGGACCGTCGGCGGCTTCCATGGCAGAATCATAGGCGTTTGCCGACGTGGATGCGGCAAGATCGGCAAGGGAGGCTAGTGTGGGCTCAGAAGCCATGGTGGCATCGCCATCCTGGCGCCGTGGAGGAGACTATGCCAGTTTATATTGATGAACATTCTGGTGGGTTGACACTAGGAGAACGCACTGTTTGTATCCTGATCTTCTCAGTCTGGCGCGCCTTCAGGTCCGGCAGGCGCGGAACTCCGGGATCCTTCTTCAGTTCTGAGATGCATTCAATACGATCGTTTTGAGTGAGGATGTAGCGACGCACTGGTCTTGTGCGGCACAGCAGTTTTATTTGATTCTGACCATCACATAAACTTCCACCCTCCCGTGCCGTCTGGTCGAAGGCTGCTCACTATTTCTGCCCATGGTTGTGGTGAGAGTAGGAGACGAAGGTGTGAAAGACGACCGCACCGACGCGCCACGCGGGGCAAAATCTAAGATTTAGAGTAGATAAGATGAGATAACTCGATAAGATTCCCAACCCATCAATCTCGTATTCACCCGCTTGTTCATAGCCGAAAGGAATGATATTGTGGACTGTAGCAAGAGTATTGATACGCAACAGCACAGGTATATGCAATAAGGACTCCGATAAATCATCCGATACCCGTGAAGAAAGGACAGTACAAGTGTGTTCAACGTAAATCAAGAAATATCCATTCGAAATGTTCAATCGAGCGAGCCCAAAGAAAACCTATCAGACACCGGGCAGAGTGAATCCAGGGAAGTCTGGCCAATTGCCCAGCTGAGCTGGGTCGCCTCCGATGCGGACAAATTGGCCATGCGAAGGTGTGGGTCCATCGAGAACAAACAGCTATGATCTCATCAGCGATCGTCCATAGTCATAGTATCCGCCTGCTTACCTGCCACCAGCTTGGAGGAGAGACAAAGGCATTGGGCGGCGCGGTGATCGTGCAGGTCGATCCTGAGCAGCTGTAGGCAGGGAAGATGATGCGGTTACCCATCGCGTTGCCGTGAGTCGACGACGTCGCTGTGGGGGGGGGGGGGGGGG